TCTCTAAGCAATTGGAAATTTCTATCTTGATTTCAATAAGATCGTTCACAATCAACAATAAAGTTTATAAGCTTAGCTCAACTACACAGGTCTGGTTGCAACACTTCAAGATAAAAAAAAATGTTGTAAAATTCCAGTACATCGGAAAAAATTTTGAGCTCGAATTCAAGAACAATGGTTGCAAAACTCAAAAAGAAACAGAAATTCATACCTCGATTTCAAAGAGATGTCAGAATACTTCAATAAATTGGTCGCAACAATCAATAAACCAAAATTCGATCTCGATTTCAATAATCTTATTCAATTCGGAAATCGCAACTCAAATTAGTTTGGAAATATGTGATTTTGAGGTGAGGGATTTTGAGGCGAGGGTTTTCTGATTTCAGGTACGAGAATGAGCTGAGGGTCTCTATTCTAGCCGACATTAATTGTTTTAGGTAGTTACCAATATACCCTCGAGCGAATGGCGCCCATTAATCAGGATGAATTACCTGTAGCCGTCTGATTGTTATGATCATGTGGATACAATTTATTCTTAATTCTTTCGTTAAGACCTATTCTCACCGGAATCCAACCCTATATATATATATATATATATATATATATAAATATATATATTGCGCGGAACACTTCTATAAAAGTCCACTTAATGCAAAATGGATTTTTTTTCCCAAAACGATAGATTATATTATAAATCAATATATATATATATATTGCTCGGAACACTTCTATAAAAGTCCACTCAATGCAAAATGGATTTTTTTTCCCAAAACGATAGATTAAATTATAAATCAAAATGCACAAATGTGTGAATACACAACAACCAGCGATTGAATACACAACAGCCAACAACTGGAAAAAGTGGGAGGACAGGTCAGAAGACCGCCTAGAGTCCTGACTAGCAATGCTTGAATAAAGCTCGCAACTAAAACTAACCTACTAAAACAAATAACAACAACTAAAAAGACTCCAACAGAGTAATACCCGAGTGTCGGATCCCAATGGGATAATAAGGTGACACTCGGGTTCACAAAGGCCAAACGGCCCAGACCACAAACACAATCCGAAACTACACAAGAACACAAACACAGAAGAACAATCCTAAAATAAAACCTAATGAAAAATGCACAAAGCCCTTCCCCGGGATAACCATACCCTGCCGGCGAAATCAGGACTAATCACCAATAGCTTGACCCGAAAGCTGGAACACCACTCCCGCCACTGCCTAATGCCTAGCAAGGACGAGTCCCAAGCCTCGAAACACTCCAAGGATGAAGGCGACCCACAGCCCCAAGAGGATCAATCAGCCCCCCCTCCTCCCCCCCTCCACAGACCCGCATCCCGTGACCCGACCAAACACCACTAGTCAAAATCCTGGCTTGTCGGGCGTCCAACTCCATAACTCCGACAGAGTGGAAACAGGGGCTCAAATCAACCCACCTTAACCCCAGCCTACGCGTCACAGACGAGCCAAGCCACATGGGTCACACCCAACCCCAACCACTGTCACTCACCTCCTTGAAACAACCCACCATGAACCAGGCGCACAGCGGACGAGCTCCCACCGGGGACCGAGCAGAAATGGAGCCAACAGATAGCCAACCACCATAGCCACAACTCGGAGAACTAGCAGACGGAACCACCATCGGCGAGACTTGCCAACGGCTTGGGAGGAGAAGCTCCACCGGCGCAGAAGCACTGCCGAGGGAGAAATTGGGGCGGGATTACGCAGCTATTGGCCATCCGCCGTCGAAAAGGCCGGCTAACCGCCGGAGAAGGCACACAGTGGGCGGGATTTTACGAGCAGAGGCTAGGGTTTGTCATGGGAGAGAAAGGGGATCACAGTTTGCGACTTCATTTCAAAATGGACTTCTTCAAAAGTACTGATATTCATTATGGACTTTTTGAATAACTTATCCTTAAATCCATTCTTACGATGTATTCAATTAAATGTTTTAAGGACTTTTTAATACCTTATATTTCTGGTGTAATTAGAACTTTTTTTTAGACTTAAAAAGGTCCATTTGAATTCAATTGAGACTTTTATATATTGTTTATACATCTCTTTAAGTCTCAAGTTATTCAATTAAAACTTTCGGAAGGTCTCTATGTGGCGTGCTTGAATACAAATATATCTGCTCAAAACGAGTTAATTTTTTATCGATTAGTTTTATAAAAGGTTGTATGTTTAGTTGTTAGTTAGATTTTGAGTTTATATTAAATTAATATTTAAAATATAATAATTAAAGTTGATTTGATGTAAAAGTATGAGAGATGTGATTTGAAGTAATGATTAGTTAAAATCATGTGAGTAGATGAATGGTGAATTAGAGTTGATGTGATGCATAAGAATAATTGATCGATATTATTTATTTATATTGAGAATAATTGAGTTGAGTTAAAATTGAGTTAGATTTTGAGTATGGATTGAGAAAATTTATCAACAAACACACCCTAAGTCACCTGATATTTAAAGTAAGAAGACTACATGTGACTTGCTAAATAATAAGACTTTTAGAGACCTTTTTAACAAAATTACAAAGACAAAGTTCTACCACTAATCTAAAAAAATTGGTGAAATTTTGTTGGACTTACGTAACTCTTGAAACTCGCTTTTCTCTATATTGTTACATGACTATATATCTCATGTCACTTTCATAATCTATTATTTTCTCATTTATTTTGATAGCTTATATAATTTATTTTTTCATCGCGAATATTTAACATGATTTTTTCTTTTACTTATTTTTTTATTATGATTATTTGGCGTGTGTATACTTATATCCTCTCATTTGTCTGTTATGAATTTAACTTTTCAAATGTTAAATGTCTGTATAATTTACACCTGTCAATAATTTATTTGCTCGCTCTTTTTTCAAATTTAAACGCTTGGTAACTTAGAATGTAGATATATTTTAAAAGTTAATAATATTTATATATATTGTCAATTTTTATATATGATAATCAAATTAGTCATATTTTCACAATAGATATTAACATTCATATTGTATATATAAATTAAAATAATTATATCTATTTGATCTCTATCAATAAAAATTTAAATATTTATCAATTATAATTGAAAAACAATAGGCTAGCCCACATATGGATCCGCCTCTGCCTAGGGCATGCTCACAACTAGACATGGCCAAAACCCAGTTACGGGTAGGGTTTTAGGGCCCTCCGAACTGGCCTGAGAAAATATAGGGGCCGGTTCAATGAACTGCCGATTTCGGGCTAGTCTGATTTATTAAAAAGTATAAAAATAATATAAAAATAAAAAATAAAATAAAATAAGGCGAACTGCCGGTTCCGAGTCTGATTCCAAACCGAAACCACCGGTTCAAAATCTGTAATTACTTGAACCAAAACTATCTCAGGTAAAACTATGGGCCTGTTCAAGGTACTGGTCAACGGAGGTGTTACGGGCTGATTCCATGTCGGTTCGGGCCCGTGGTCACGTCTACTCATGATGTGCATTATCTTGGGTGTGGATATACATTATGAAACGTAGATATTACTCGTAGAGTGCGCTCAACTATGTTAAAACACATATTATTTGTAAATTTTAAATTTATGTTGCAACACCAGAATACGTTTAAATAGCGGAAGCACAAACAAGAGATAAAAAACTATCCGGGGAGCGTCCCACTACCCATCAGAGATCTTTTATTGATAAACCGATTGTGCACACGCGTATAGTTTGGACTTACACACAGCTAGAACTCTCTTCTAGTTTAGCCACAACTACACTCGATTCTATCAACTATTTCTCTTGCCATGACCCGTGGACTTTACACACTCGAATCCCTCGAGCAAACCCAGTACTTAATCCCTAAGTACCAAACCAAAGTGTTTAAATAAAATAAGAAAAACTAAAACAAAACGGATTCAGTTTTTTGACATTGTAAGAACATTGAATTGCTGAACGACGAACTAAACACAAAGAGCAAAACTCGAACTCTCAATTGAATGTTGGAAGTAAGACGTGAATAATGATAATATCAGCAGCCTTCAATTGATCTTCAAGTAGGGTAATTATAGTCTCCTTGCGTGAAGTCTTCTACAAGCAAGAATCCTTTCTTTTCGATTTCCTTCCAAATATTTAGGTTGAAACATGGTAAGTGAATATCTTTTTCTCTTTCTCCAAAGATCTTTTCTTCATGCGCATCCATGCAGGGTCTAATTACCTACAAAAACATAAGTTAAGAGCATCTCCAAAAGTCTAATGTTGTTGTAGAATAAATTTTGGCAAATGTAAATAAATTAAATTAAATGTGAACCATGTAGGGAAAATGTTAAGTTTACAACTATGAAATTAAAAAATTATCTACAATGCATAATGTAGTGTAACTAAAATATTATATACTTACCAAATTATTAAAATTTATAATATGTAGTAAGAAAATTAATTAAATAATTTATAATTGGTAAGAATAATTCTCTTTCTTCTCTTATTGGTTAGCTAGAGTGTGGAGGAGAATGTGGATGAACCACATTCTTCTCTACATTGTAGAAATTAATTATGTCCATTATCACAACATTTGAGATCACATAGTGTATTGGAGGATGAAAAGTTGTGACATTGCTAAATATGTTAATGTAAAATCTAATTTACAAGAGCAATATTTGAGCATTGGAGATGTTCTAATAAGATCATGTAAATCTTTCCAAAATATACATAATATTTACAAAAACCAAAATATATAAATACGGTTTTGCTATGGAGCCAACAGTTTGCTCCATAGTAGAGCCAACCTTCTATATACATCAAATAAACCTACCATATTCTTTAATTACCTAAATAACACTTATATAATTTTATGAAATATGGTAGGTTTATTTGATGTATATAGAAGGTTGGCTCCATTATGAAGCCAACTGTTGGCTCCATAGCAAAACCGTATATAAATATACACAAATAAATGTAGATCTTCCTATAAAATCTTTTTGCTTGCTAGAACATATCTTGTGTTATTTTTGAATTTATTGCAAAAAATAAATCTTTCATATTATCCGTGGAGGATGAGGGAGAAAGGTGAAAGAGGAAGGACCTCTTGTTAAATTCAAAGAAATTCGTGACCGTTGATATATATGACAATCGAGATTGGGGAAGCAGCAGAAAACACTGTGGAGTGTGGGGAACAGCGGTACAGACATGCTGCCAAAACCCAGAAGTGCTTATTTGAAAAAAAAAAAACTTTGGGACTGCGAAAGCCTTTCTTAGCTGAATTGGATTAATTCTCCTCAAATCCGCCACGAACGTCCCCGTGCTGACACTCTGGCCGACAAGCACACACACAGTAGTTCTAGCTAGCTATCTCCTCAGCGAGTGAAGTGAGAGGGAAACTCTTTGTTCACCAAGACTTTCTTCTTGTAAGCTCTATGGGGAGTGGTTTTGCACTTATCTTTGCAAGTTTTCAGCTGTTGCTGCTTCTGGGTATGTATTCATTTTATCGTCTCTTTTTCTCTTATCAATGGTGTTCATTGAGTGCGACTGTGATGTCTTATTGCTTCCTCGCCTATACATACTCAGATTCTTTGCCGAGAATGTAGGCCTCATTTATTCAGAATAATAAAAANTTTTTTTTTCCGTACTTCTGTCTTATCCTGTTTGTATTAATTTGGCCAAGGTCTTTCTGGAACAGATTTTTGTCCGGATATTATGTGTCCAATTTGCATAGTGTAATGATATGTGGACATTGTAACCATGTGAAGTTATGGATTTGGACAGTTGTGTTGTTCTAATTCAGCCGTTAAGCTGCTTTTAATCATCCGTTGTACACTGGTAAATTTCAATCATTGTTCTATGAAATTCTATTTTTTCCTGTCCACATTTACATCATCTTAACCGATTGAGTAAGTTGACATTTACGGCGAATTCATAATCATTGGGTTCCACTCAATAGCATGGTCACAGATTGGAGATTATGGGCTTCACTATTCTTGATCAGAAGTCAACATAGATCATATGTAGTACAAACAACATCACTGGGTACATTGGTTTTATTCTTGTTGTTCAGTTCACTAGTAAAGTCTGCATTATTTTTTCAATCACTTGTGACTAGAAGCTGGACCCTTACACTAGTGTTTTAACGCTAGGAACGATTTATTTGGCAATGAAGAAATCCTACTCATTTCAGGTCACAAGTCGAGAAATAAAATCTTAGCTCTTGAACGTTTTGTTTGTTTTATTTCGGTTCGATTATAAATTATTGTTATCCTAATATGAATAAGTGGCACAGATGAACAATATGAATAACACTAAGTATCCTAATATTTGGTGAAAGAACGATCTCTGATCCTCTTCATACGTTCCTCTGTCTTGTAAATTATCTTCTCCACAATCATGTCTGCTACTCAATACTCATGACTTGTCAATGAAATATATTCTTTTCCCACAAGACCATGTCTTTCCTGGCTGCAATGCAATCTATGGAACACAAACGAATTGATAATGACAGAAAGCCGCTACTCTCGTTTTCTTTTCCAGTCTAAACTTAGTATTCATTTTTATAGTTACCTTTTCCTTTAGACCATGCTTCAATGGTTCATTTTTCCCCTGCATACCTTGTCAAACAATCAGACATGCACAACAAAGATTCAATCACAAAGCCATACTAATGCTAAAAAACCCGTGCTTTTTATTTATAGTTGTCTGCAGAGGCGCAAAAATTGGGGTATGCTACGGGCGCAACGCGGACGACCTCCCGACTCCCGACAAAGCCGTACAGCTCATCCAACAACACAACATCAAATACGTACGAATCTACGACTCCAACATCCAAGTCCTCAAGGCCTTCTCCAACACCGGCATCGACCTCACCATCGGCATCCCCAACTCCGACCTCCTCCCTTTCTCTCAATTCCAATCAAACGTCGACACCTGGCTCAAAAACTCCATCCTCCCCTACTACCCCTCCACCCGCATCACCCACATAACCGTCGGTGCCGAAGCCACCGAATCCCCAAACAACATCACCTCACTCGTTGTCCCGGCCATGCGCCGAGTGCTCGCCTCCTTGAAGTCCTTTAATCTCCACAATCGCATCAAGGTCTCGACTACACACTCTCTCGGCATCCTCTCCCGATCCTTCCCCCCCTCCGCGGGCGCCTTCGACAGCCGATACGCGTTCTTTCTCCGTCCCTTGCTCGAGCTTCTCGTCGAGAATCGAGCGCCGTTCATGGTCAACGTGTACCCGTACTACGCCTACCGCGACTCGTCATCCAACGTGTCTCTCGACTACGCACTCTTTAGCCCCTCCTCGCCGGAGGTCATCGACCCGAACACGGGACTTCTCTACGCGAACATGTTCGACGCGCAGGTCGACGCGGTCAATTTCGCCCTCGCCGCTCTCAATTTCCGCACGGTCGGGATCACGGTGACCGAGACGGGATGGCCCACAAAAGGCGGATCGGATGAGTCTGCTGCGACTCCCGACAATGCGCAGGCTTACAATGAGAATCTGATTGGTCACATTTTTAATAGTACGGGCACGCCAGCGAAGCCTGGGGAGGAAATCGACACGTATATTTTTTCGTTGTTTAACGAGAACAGGAAGCCTGGGGCGGAGTCGGAGAGGAATTGGGGGATTTTTTTTCCGGACCAGACGAGTATTTATAGGCTCGATTTTACGGGGAGAGGAGTACTTGGGGCTGGTGGGGGTTCGGCTGGTGTTGGGGGTGGGAATAATGGGACGTGGTGTGTGGCGTCGAGCAATGCCTCGGAGGCTGATCTGGAGAATGGGCTGAATTGGGCGTGTGGGTCGGGGAATGTGGACTGCTCGGCGATACAACCGAGCCAGCCGTGCTATGAGCCCGACAGCCTGGCGTCACACGCGTCGTATGTGTTCAATAGTTACTTTCAGCAGAATGGGGCGACTGATGTTGCTTGCAGTTTTGGGGGAGCTGGCGTTAGGACGACTAACAATCCGAGTACGTATGTTGAAATTTACTGCATTTACTTAGTAGGGATTTTTTCATGCTCTTTCATGCTAAAATTGGATTTTTTTTTTATTTTTTATTTTTATATTTATTTATCTGCTCTGAAATCTAAGGTATCTTATTCCTTACCTCTCTTTATATTTGGAGTTAAGTTGTATTATTTATTATTGTTATTTCTTTTAAAATTAATTAGATGTTGATATCTTTATATTTTTGAAGGAAATTTTTAATAAAATTTCTATCTCCTACCCAATATTTATTAATAATATATTAAATTAATATTATTTCAGTGACTTTTTATTTGAAACCAATATTTCATATATAAAATAAAACAATGTTTCTTCTATATGAAATAAATTTATATGTAGCTATCAGTATCAATTAAAAGATAAAGAATGCCTTAAAGGTTTTTTTATAAAATAAATTATAATTATTTTAAAAAAAAGCATAAAAATGTATTTCTTGCTTGTCATACTGTCGTTTTCTTTGTAATAACTTTTTTCCTCGTTTGTTTTCCGGTTTGAGTAAATTGGATCCCCTCCTAAAACTTCTTCGTTCTGTGTTGGCAGGCTATGACAACTGCATCTACATGACATTCGGGTACATATATGTGTAACAGCTCAATACTATCTGTAGCTTTAAAATTTTTACATCTTACTGATTTTGTTTAAATGAAAATTTTGTTGATTTTCACTTGGAATTCCCACAGGTCCAACAAAACTGCTACTGCAGCTAATGCAACAGCTATGCCTTCAAAATCTTCATCTGTACAAAGACTCTCATTCCCTGTGTTTGTTTTGGGTTGCTTGCTGATAATCTCCTTTTCAATGTTCCTGTAACATGCATGTTACATACGAGCTACTGTATGAGTGAAGTAGATTTTCCCTTTGACAAAGTAGAAAGCTCTTTTGAAATATTTCTCTGTAATGGAGAGAACCCCCAAGTGGCAAGTTTTGTGATGAATGGAAAGAGACGATGTATGAGAGCTTGATTTCATTATCCTAATATTGAAAGCACACAGAAGACCAAAATGTATGCTTGTAAAATCAAATCTTATTTGGTTGCTATTTTGAAATGTAAAAGCTGCTGCTTTAGCAAAATACTATTGGTTGCAATTGCAACTTGCAATGTGATACTTCTCATTCTGCCCTTCTGTAGCCGGATGAATGAGGTCTATCCAAGGTAGTTCAAATAGCACAACACAACATAAACAGAAAAACACACACAAAACAAAACAAAATAAAACAAAAAAACTAAAAAACTCCCAACAATAGAGAATACACACTCCCAAACGAGAGAATACTCGTTTCTAAATAAGATAATAAAAACCAAAAACACTCTTACAAAACAACATAAGAACTAACTACAAAGAATCCCAATGACTAAACTAAAGCCCTCCTCGACAGCGATCAAACTACCCCGCGAAAGAAACCACGACACCGACCCTGAGGGCAACCACCACATGGACATAGATATGGTCCAAGACACAAACCCAAAAACTGCAGTATTATTACGCCAAACTAGGTCCGAAACACACAGACCCGCACCCTAACTCAGGTAAACGATCCTCGGACCAGAAATCGGAGGCCATCCCCAAGCTCCAACCCCCACACCAACCAGCAGCCACAGGCCGACAACCGACCGGAGCCAAATCCCACACCCACCAACAAGACCCATCACCCAGCATTAGGGAAACGGGAAAACCGGGGTGGGGGGAAGAAACTAACTCAGCTCCAACCATCACAGTGCTTTCCTAGGGTTTGTTGCTGGACAGAGAGCCGCTAAAAGCAGACGGCCGACCTCGACCGTCTTCAGAGGCTCTCGAACTGGAATCTCCCTAGCGAGAGCACCGGCGCTGCAATAGCTTTAGATCATAACCAAGTTTTGCAAAGAGGGGACGCTTTCAGTCCATTAACTCACCTGCAGTTTGTGCTTAGATGGACCCACCATCCACCGTACAACTCGACCCGAGCCAACACCACTTTAAACAACAATATCTGTCGGCTTCGGATATCTATTGGTCTCTGGCTACTGCAGTCGGCGAATTTTTTGGGTTTCGAGTCCCAACATGAATTTAGGGTGACCATGAGGAACACCATGGCTACGCCAAAAAACCATCATCTGCTTCCTCTTATTCTCGCCATTAAACTCAACTCACAAAATTCATAATTTCATAGTTTTCTTCAATTTTATAGGTTCTTTTTCGATTTTCTCATCTTGAATTGTAGTTTGCTTTTATGTTTCCAAACACATATCTGAAGGGCTTATAAATTTTATTTATATTTTTATCACTAAAAAATCAAGAAGTGAAGGAAGTTTGAGCCTTTTGCAATCACGAAGAATTTTGAAATTCAGTTTCACGTTTTCTATTTCAATTTCAAGTTTTGGTGGTCTATTTTATGTTTTCGTTGTTTCGTTCATTATGTCCAGATTTTAGAATTTGTGTGTTCTCTGCTATGAAAATAAACAAATTTTTGCACGACTTTGTTTTCCAAGCCATTCGAAGCAGTAATGGGAGATGGCTTATGCGGTTCCAAAGAGAAGCTTTTGGAACGAGAATGGGAAGGAGAGGCTCCAGGGGGCGGGTACGAGTACAAGGGTTGCCCGCCGCAGGGGGACGGGTACTGGTACGGCTAGGCGCCGTCTCCGGGGTATGGGTACCTGCCGCAGGGGGCGTACAAGTAGCATCAGAAGCCTTAGAAAAACAAGGCGGGGATGGGGGTCTGGATGGGGTAAGGATTGGGGTTTGGGTGCTCGGAGGCTTGCTGGTTGGGGAGATGGCATAAGATGTCGAGGACACGGCTGCCTATGCAGATGGGTACAACGACGCCATGGGTGACATAGGCGGCGACTTTGATTTCTAGATTTTTACTCATTTATTTTATTTCCTTATTCTCTTTTCCATGCGAATCGGTTATACTTGGTGATATGTGATGATCTACTATGAAAGAGATGAAGAAATTCATTTAATTATGTAATTCATGATCTAATTTACTTTTCTAAATGCTTTGTACATATAAGCTTAATGGCAATAATTTAAGTTAATATGAGGAAGAGACAACCCAATTTTTGGTTTGTCGTTTTGGTTTGGGGATTACTTGAGGAAAATTGGTTGTACTTTATTGAGTCTTTAATTATTACCATACATATTAGTTTGTTAAGTCCTTAATTATTACGTACACATTAGTCAGTTGAATGTTATACTATATCTAGTTTTATAAACTTATTTATCTATATATCTATTAATATATAATAAGATAAATAGTTAACCTAAAAAAGTAATCAAATTTCCGCCTAAATAATTTAGAATTACTGAATGTTGATTTTTTTTAATTTGTTTTTATTAATCCTGCTTTTTATTTGAGTTTGAAATCCGAAAATTCAAAATATGTTTATCCAGTGTGACATTTACGTATTTATCTAATTAAGAACACATCTAATAAAAATTACAAATTTTAGAAAATCCAGACTACACAGTCCTGTGGAGTTTTGTCAACTTTTTCGGAAAATCACACGATACAATCATGTTTCTATAGTGCACTCAAATGTTGATTTTATCATATAGGGTTTCAGTAATAAATATTTGAAAATTTATATTAAACTCATTCGGTTTCCAGTTTTGTAAATAAGATCCACGTTTTTTTTTTCGTTTTAAAATTGAATTTCATCCATCAAAGTTTATGATATACACCAAATAATGGTGTACTGTGGGAAAAAAAAATTTCTCGAGACTTTTTAACCTTTTGATAAATTGTCTTTATGTGCTATGTTTAAGAAATAATTCCATTTCAGTTTCTAAATTGTGTATGTATATTACAGATGTAGGAAAACACCTTTTGGGACGTACTTGAATGGGAAGGAACACATATAGAGGACAAAAGACACCTTATCGTCACATGGGATAGGGTTAGGTCGGGAAAAGATGCTCGTGTCTCCCTGTTTCTCAAGTACCTTGAATACCTCCTTCTGATGTAGTGCTAGGGGCTCATACTGCCCGTACTTATACCCCATTTTTTGGCGCAGAAGGTGATTGTTAGCACAAAATCTACATACTTGACTATATATTATAAACCACAAGTAGATACACCACATAATTTTACAATACGTGTCACCGAAGATGCACCTGTGGACATAGTGCCTCATCGTAGTGGGAAGGTTGTCAGACAACCCGACAGATTCATGTTATTAGGAGTCTTCGGACTTAGTCTCTGGTGAACTTGAAACTGACCATTGAACGTTTGATGAGGCTAATATGAAACTGCCACCACTGTTTGACCAAGTGCTGGAGTAGTTGACCAGACCTGGAGTGCTAATATATCTTCAACAACTATGATTTATTTTTATTTCTTTCACTATATCCATTCTCATTTGATCCTACGTCTATATTAGTCACATATATTAGTCACATGGAGAAATTTTGTTAACTTCTCTAAAAAATTCACACGGTTGTCGAAATTTATCAAACTGCAACACATTTTTAATGTTTAGATTCTTTCCATTATATTCTATACATTAACAATTGTGGTTAATTGATTTTTTTGTCCTAAAAATAATACCTTCTATCACAAAATTCACATATTCTAATTCGAATATTCTACCATAAAATTCATCGATTGTCTAATTACTAAAATTTTATAGGTTGTAATACATATTATTCACGCATATAATATTTTAAATACTTTTAAACATGTTGTTTGGACAAATTTATTACACGTTATATATATTAAGGATCTATATCAATATGCATCGCCCTTATAATATATTTATCGAATGCTCTGAGCCTAAATGCTAGGCTCGTATGCTTTATATGCTTATTGGACATAAGTTTGTGCTTCGTATTAATACATGTACATGTTTGGTTTCAACTATAGGCTTGAGAATTACCAAAACTATTTTACCTTTCTTTTTTTCTTAAACTTGATACTGCTCTTATCTTTTCTTATTCAATTCATATAGTAACTATTATAAATATGTATTCTTTTTATTTTTAAAACTTTATAAATTTTTATTTGTATTTTTTTTATATATGATATATCAAAATAATAATATTTTAACGATCTTCGATTTGGCATCCATATTGCATATATAAAATAAAAAATAATTTCATCTATCTTTATAAATAAAACTAATTTTTATCATCAAATCAATTTAAAAAAATTAAATACAAATATAAATTATTTATAAAAAAATAAAAATATAATTCATTAGTACATCATAAAATAATCATTTTAATGTGTTTTTTCCACATATTTTGGATAAAATATGAAAATTAATTATTACATAAAATCAATTTTAAGAAATATTATAAAATATTATTATTAAATTTAAATAAACTATATAAAGAACAGAATGTTACTATGTTATTTAAAATAATAAATAAAAAATATCATAATTAAAAATAATAAAATAATTTTATATTTCATAAAGTTAGAAAATAATACATTTCTACATAAATTAATATTCTAGATTATAAATTATATGAATTTAAAATACTTGAAAAATTAATGAACAAGAGACACTGACTATATTTTTAAAATATAATCACCATATAATAAGTTGTTTTCTTTAAAAAAAATCGAATCAAATCGATGGAGTTGTAAATAATATGTGTTTTAGACAAATATAATTTTAATATAATTAAAAAATATCATGTTTGACAAATTTAGTGTAAAAACGTTGGCGCCATTTTATATTAATTATCGATTTGTTAGTTATTTATTATTGTTGCATATTCATTACACAATCTCACAATAGAAAATATAAATTATATTAATTTTTTCTATTGTACAAATTTTTATATATTTTAGAACCGTATAGTACACGGGTGCAGACTAGGGTGTGTGTGTATGTATATATATCATATATATATATATATATATATATATATTAAATTTAAGTGGTTTTATATATATTTTTCTTCCAAAATAATTTAGAAAAAATTTGAGTGACCTCAAACATTTTTCAAGAATAGTATATAATATTTTAGATATTTTGACATATGTTATATAATATCTTAGGTGATTTTAACATTTTAAACATATATGTTTTATGTCCTTTTACACAAGTTATGTTTATGTATAGTTTTCAACAAATTAATATACATTAAATTATATCAATTCAATGACAATTTTATTTTAATTTTTTTTTTCAAATAATCCCACTTTTATTTGAGTTTGAAACAAAAATTTAAAATATTTTTATCAAGCCATATTTTAACAGATTGATTCATTTCAATGTTTATTTAACAAAGAACCATATTTATCTAATAAGTATTCCAAATTTTTTTATATAATTTTGGAAGATAATAATTCTATAATATGTTGTTTCTAATAAACTGATACTATTCATTTCCGTGTTTATCTAACAAAGAATCATATTTATTTAATAAGTATTTCCAATGTTTTTATATAGTTTTTGGTAGATAATAATTTCATAATATGTTGGTTCTAATAAACCGACTATAGTATCATTTCTGTGTTTATCTAACAAAGAACCATATTTATCTAATCAGTATTCTAAATTTTTTATATAATTTCTTGTAAGTAATATAATTCTATAATATGTTGTTTTTAATAAACCGGTTATAGCATAGGAGGGATTCTTAAAATAACGTTTTAGAAAAGGTATTGACATGGCTGCTAACTAGTAAAACTGCAAAGAGAAACAAATAAATATAGGAAACCAAACAATTATTTTAGTCAGTGTTGAAATCAATTTACACTTTATATTAAATGTAGCAAACCTAGGTTGTACATGAATCGATTAGCTAGCGAGCCGCTCGCGAGCGCTCGAGTCAAAGCTCGACTCGAGCACGAACTGAAGTCGAGCTCAAGCCTATACTTTGCATTGTCGAGTGCCTCGCGATATATGTTATGTTACTAAAATACCCCTTGTATAATATATGTATTTAATGGTAATTTTACAATGTTGTTTGAAAATTTTTGAATCCAACTCGAGGTTAGCTCGAGCTATTGTATTTTTTTATCGAGTCGAGCTCGAGCCTCATAAATTGAGCTCGAGCAACTCAAAGAAAAAAAAAAAAACAATCATAACCAATGCTCGACTTGACTCGGCTCGGATCGTTTGCAGCCTTGCTAACCCACAAAATGAAAATTCATATTGATAAGAGACGAAACAACTATTCTTAGAAGTGCTGAGATCTCTTTATACTAGCCCGTTGATGCACGGATAAAAAATATTGAATGATAATTATAAATTAAAAATACGTGAATAAACAATATTAACTAATAGTTATAAATTTAAAGATATGAAGTTAACATGTGATAATTTAGCATCTATATGTGTATTTATAGATATAAATCCTTAATAGAACGTGTAAAAATTTATCCAAACATGTTTAAAAGTATCTAAAATGCTATACGTATAAATAATATGTATTAGGCTAGAAAAATTAAAAACATGACCTATGAGCTAACCCATTTTTTTTTATTAAATTCTTAATTTGAATTTGGTATTTGCTAAATTAGAATGCAAATTAAAATTAGAATAATTTTCTTTTAAATTTATCTGAATCTAAATATGTACATATTCAGTGCAAAAATTATCAAATTTTTACTAATTAATAAAAACTATATATGATTCAATATATTATACAAAATATAAAATTTTATTCATATATATATTTAGTTTAAATTTATATTTATTTATGCATATATTTAAATTAAAAACTACACAAATAAATTAAAAGAAATGTATTTAAAATTTAATCTTTTTATATAATATATTTATGCATGTAGATAATTTATCACAACAAGTTTCAAATGGAATCGAATAATTTAATCATCATCTTAAACGAAATCGAATTTCAATAAAAAATTATAATCAATAGTAAATGAAATACAAATTCAAATACTCAAATACTTTCGTGAATTCGAATCAAATTTGAATCACATATTAAAGTTAATAATAAATTAAATATGAATTCAAATACTCAAATATTTTTATGAATCTGAATCGAATAGTTGAGTATCCGCTTCAATTCGATTAGTTTACAAACGTATCAAGTGGCAAGTTATGAAGCACAAATAAAGAATCGGGTATGGAGGTCACAAAGAAACTGGGAGAGATCACGGAAGGACCAATAAAAGAAACCATAACAATAATGGAGAAAAACAACATCAAAACCGTGACGGCTAATTGCATGCTCACAATACCCCTTACACACGACAAAGCCCCAAAAAAAAAACGAAAAAGTATCAATGACAATTGTGTATTTGTAAAGATGCTCTCATGTTCATGTAACCATGGAATTAACAGCCAAAAATAGATGATTTACTGGCAGGGAATCATAACAAACAGTTAAATAACCACAAAGTTTTGAGTTTAGGCATACAAACCATTTATATTCAACTCATTTTGGAAAAGAGCACTCTTCTTAGAGTCACCAAGAAAACCATAACTTCCACACAACATTAAGAAGATATCCGCTGCAACAAATTTCAAAGCAGCCAACTGAGTACAAGGTTAGTGGTTGAAAATCTAATACTAGAAAATTTCAATTCAACTCCGAAAGAAGAAAGGTAAAGAGAGTACCTACCATTTAAACACCTTGTTCAATAAGATAATCACCAATCTTCTCAACCACCATGTTGCATTGACCAGGAGTCATGGGCTCATCATAGAGGCCAATGATCAAAGCAAGATTGGTCTTCTTGATAGTAGCTCCACCAGATCCCTAAGGAAAAAGAAAGCCATATATTCATTTAATTATTCAAATAACTATACAGTGCAGCTTATGACACGCTGTAAATGGAAACATGATAAAATAACTTGTTAAAAATCTAATTGCGAAAACGAATAATGAAAAAATTTACACCCCCAGTCCCCCCACTGCATCTAAGCTCAAACGCCAACGCAAGTGTTAGGAACTCATTTGCCTTTTGCTACTAAACACTGCGTTAAAAACTATTTTATATAAAAGAAAAATGTGCATATGACATAAATACCGCAGCTTTATAAATATATCTGAATTCTGTGGAAACAAATTCACAATGAAATAAATTTTCTCTCATTACCTTCTTTCCACGGATGACAGCACCAGGTTCACCTTGAATCACCATGTACTTGGTGCCCCCAATGTACAATCCAGTGGGGGCTAATGTACCCGGGCTATCAAAATCATTCAGGATAGCTTGTACCTCATTAGGTTTGAACTGCACTAGCATCATTTCAAATATGAGGAACTGTCATTAAATAACTATAATACAGATATCGAGCATATTTTTCTTCTAAATATACTTGATTTTAATTGGTCGTTCTAGTCAGAATTTGTATCTATCCCAGACATGAATGACGATATATCAAAACTGAGATACCGTTGATAATGAAAATTTACTAATAAACATGCAATCGATCAATAAATCCAAGAAAATCATTAAATGGTTAACTTTCTGCCACAAAATTTCTATAAAATGACTAAGAAGTACTGGACATAGTTCTGTTCAATTTATCTTATATGCTTGATCCAATAAAATGCGTACCAGGAATCATAAAAAATATGTAATAGAAAGTAATGCATGACTTTTTAACTCAAGCAAACCAAGATTATATAATTCACAAAAAGCAGCAGCAAAGATCATCTACTAGAAGGATTCAAGTATTTTGATACTAAACAAAATATAGGAAGTAAAAAAATAATAAACCAAGCGGATGAATAAACAGATCTCCCAACCAAGATCAACCACAAACATCATCCAATCAAAGCAAAAGAAGTCCATCAGATCCGAAAATTCAAATAGATCAAATCAACAAANAAAAAAAAAAAAAAAAAATGCTGAACACCATTAAATACAGGACGTAGTAAACCAAACTACGGCGGTATCGTGCTATGGAAATCCACAAAATTGGATACAAGCTAATCGATCTCCCTAATCAGTCCACTTCAACTGATGTACCATTTTAGGTATAATACCTATCAGATCCACAAAATTCAAACAAGTAAAACTAAAGAAAAGAACAAGTTGAAGAGCTATACATCTAAATAATACTAGAAAGTGAAAAGCAAGAACACCTGGGGGAAGTTTGAGCTCTGGGCCCAAACGCTGCCGTCATGGCCAACGATGGCCGCGGCGGTGAGGTGGCAGTTGTCAACCTCCGCCATCAAGTGGTCGTCGATGTAAGATTGCCACGACATCGTTTGAGGGTCAAAAATTCCCAAAGCAGTGTGGTCTGTGGTTTGAGGAGAGGACGACTAGCGCAGTAGCGTGAAAACAACGGAAATGAAGTAATGCTCGGTTGACTCTTACAATCATCACCTTTTATACTTGCGGGTTTGGAGGAGTAATTATGAATATTTTTACATATACAAATAAAAATTTATAAGTTATATAGGAGGTGTATAAAAATATTTAAATTTATAATTTAGATAATGATCGGGTCTCATGAGGAAAGCCTGAGTATGTGATGGTCGAGTCTCACGCAAACAACCTGAGTATGAAGGCCTGAACTCTTGTGGGCAGCTTGATAGTGTGACGATCAAGTCTCGCGCGGACATCCTGGAGGCCTGGCCATTTGTGGGCAGACTGATGGTGCGATAGCCGAGCTTCGCGCGGATAGCCTGGAGATGAAGGACTTGCCTCTGGTGGAAAGCCAGAAGGTGTGATGGTTGAGTCTCGCGCGATTAGCCTGGAGATAAAGGTCAAGTCTCTTGTGGGCAGGCTGATTGTGTAATGGTCAGGTCTCGCATGGTCAGCCTGGAGATGAAGGCCTGGCCTCTTGTGGGAAGCTTAACAGTGGGATGTCGGGTCACAAGCGGACAACTTGGAGATGAAGATCTGGCCTCTTGTGGGAAGTTTGGTAGTTTGATGGCCGGGTCGCATGCAGACAACTTGGAGATGAAGGTCTGTCCTCTTGTGGGCTGCATGATAGTGTGATGTCTGGGTCGCACACGGACAACCTGAGTTTGCGATGACCGGGTCTCATGCGGACAACCTAAGTGTTGAAGTTTTGTTGATCTGAGGACCGATCATGCTTTCTCCTGGTTGAAACTCCTTTATTTATCGTTGCTAAAATGATTTCTATTATAAAATAACCTTTGAGACAGGTCGCAGTATTGGATTGTGAAAATGAGGATCGCGGAAATAGAGATTGCATAGGTTGCATCTGGCAAATAGGTTGTCCAAAAACGCGACGAGGACTTAAGATTGCTTGGGGAGATATATAGATCGACTAGAAAGAAATCGTCGTGTGGGGGTAATTTGTATCCCTACTTATCAGGGTAAAGGTCGTCAGAGTGCTGCTTGGATTGACGAAAATTGAGATTGGCAAATCATCGAGATATTGCGACCCAGTTTGTTAAAAACAATAGAATTTACGATCTGAAAACGAAGACACTTCAAATCGCTAAGTCTGAAACAACTAAAGGTTGATAGCGCCCAAGTTAGCAAAATAAAAGTTGTGACTCAAAAAGAACATACTCAAGAGTATTGATTTGTAGTTGCCCTTTATCGCCTCTATTCTTTAGTTGTTATTTGAATCACGATGATTGCATTACTGTGCGACGATCTATAAGTCGTGCTAAATATCAAGGGGTTGCTCGGAGGCACCATCTTGAAGGATTGTATCTATATTTTCTTAAGGCAACCGGTGAGCCATTTGACTTGTGTCATAAAAAGGTTTCGCCTCTGTATTGTGGAAATATAAAAAACATCTCTTCGATGATCGAGAACTCGAAGATCGTTCTTTTATAGGCGCTCGACGACCGATAATTTTTTTTTGTTTCCTCCATAAGGATCGTCTTTAATTTGCAAAGAAAGCGATCGTTGAACCGTTTGTGAAATAAATGGTCGTCGAATGACTGGAACATGGATGTCATCTTTTGTGAAGAGAATGATCGTTGAACTGTCGGAGCATGGAGGTCGTCTTTTGTGAAGAAATGATTGTCGGATGGCCGAAACGTGGAGGTCGTCTTTTTCGAAGAGAATGATCGCCGAACTGCCGAAACATGTAAATCGTCTTTCGAAAAAGAAAATGATCGCCGAACATCCGGAATGTGGAGGTCGTCTTTTGTGAAGAGAATGATCGTCGAACGGTCGGAACATGGAGGTCGTCTTTTGGGAAGAGAATGATCGTCGAACCGGCCAAGAGTGCATTTATCTATTATAAAATTTGTTTGTATGGAACATCCAGTAAAATTGAGTGGCGAGTGGATGTCAGCTTCGTACTCTTTTGTCTCTTGCGTTTTACATAACAGTGTGACGTTCTATTTGATTTTTATTTATTTATTTATTTTTATGCAGCGATCGAAAAGATAGCGACCTCATCGCAATATTAAAGTGCAAATAGTTGTGCGTATAATGAAATAGGAGTGACCGTGTAAAAAAATCAAGAGAACAATGATTTTACATGTGCAAAGGTGTTACAAAATTGAACAAGTGTGACTTTGTCGATCCTATACAAATTTAGTATAAAAATCTTGCTAGTCGAGATATGCATGATAGAAAAACCTCCATTTTTTCAAGATGACATTGTTGTACATCGGTTAGATCCTCTGTTTGCATAAATGAGGGGAGATCAACAGGTCGTTCTCCTCATAAGAAGATATTGAGCCGAAACATACTATGGACATTCTTTGCATAGATCAACTCCTTTCTATGAGATTGGCGATGGTGATGAGGATCAACAAAAAATGTATGTATGACGCTCTTGCCATGGGATGATATTCAGACTAAACAAACTTTTCGAAGCGCAGTGAAGTCAGAAGTATTGGCGAAGCAAAGTACTGAAATATCCCAGCAATCGTCATTTGGTTCGATGTCTAAGGTAGGTGCCTTGTTCAATCATTTGGTTGCTCGGTTGTAAGACGTTGATTTGAGTTTATATATTTCTAGTTTACCATATGAAAAAAAAAATGTNAAACAAAAAAACTAAAAAACTCCCAACAATAGAGAATACACACTCCCAAACGAAAGAATACTCGTTTCTAAATAAGATAATAAAAACCAAAAACACTCTTACAAAACAATATAAGAACTAACTACAAAGAATCCCAATGACTAAACTAAAGCCCTCCTCGACAGCGATCAAACTACCCCGTGAACGAAACCACGACACCCACCCCGAGGGCAACCACCACATGGACATAGATATGGTCCAAGACACAGACCCAAAAACTACAGTATTATTACGCCAAGCTAGGTCCGAAATACACAGACCCGCACCCTAACTCAGGTAAATGACCCCCGGACCAGAAATCGGAGGCCATCCCCAAGCTCCAACCCCCACACCAACCAGCAGCCACAGGCCGACAACCGACTGGAGCCAAATCCCACACCCAACAACAAGACCCATCACCCAGCATTAGGGAAACGGGAAAACCGGGGTGGGGGGAAGAAACTAACTCAGCTCCAACCACCATAGTGCTATCCTAGGGTTTGCTGCTGGACAGAGAGCCGCTAAAAGCAGACGGCCGACCTCGACCGTCTCCAGAGGCTCCCGAACTGGAATCTCCCTAGCGAGAGCACCGGCGCTGCAATAGCTTTAGATCATAACCAAGTTTTTGCAAAGAGGGGACCCTTTCAGTCCATTAACTCACCTGCAGTTTGTGCTTGGATGGACCCACCATCCACCGTACAACTCGACGTGAGCCAACACCACTTTAAACAACAATATCTGTCGGCTTCGGATATCTATTGGTCTCTAGCTACTGCAGTCGGCGAATTTTTTGGGTTTCGAGTCCCAACACGAATTTAGGGTGACCATGAGGAACACCATGGCTACGCCAAAAAACCATCATCTGCTTCCTCTTATTCTCGCCATTAAACTCAACTCACAAAATTTATAATTTCATAGTTTTCTTCTATTTTATAGGTTCTTTTTCGATTTTCTCATCTTGAATTGTAGTTTGCTTTTATGTTTCCAAACACATATCTGAAGGGCTTATAAATTTTATTCATATTTTTATCAGTAGAAAATAAAGAAGTGAAGGAAGTTTGAGCCTTTACCGATTGCAATCACAAAGAATTTTGAATTCAAGTTTTCTATTTCAATTTCCAGTTTTGGTGCTCTATTTTATGTTTTCATTGTTTCATTCATTATGTCTAGATTTTAGAATTTGTGTGTTCTATGCTATGCAAATAAACAATTTTTTGCACGACTTTGTTTTCCAAGCCATTCGAAGCAGTAATGGGAGATGGCTTATGCGGTTCCAAAGAGAAGCTTTTCGAACGAGAATGGGAAGGAGAGGCTCCAGGGAACGGGTACGAGTACAAGGGTTGCCCGACGCAGGGGGACGGGTACGGGTAAGGCTAGGCGCCGCCTCCGGGGTATGGGTACCAGCTGCAGGGGGCGTACAAGTAGCCTCAGAAGCCTTAGAAAAACAAGGCGGGGATGGGGGCCTGGTAGGGGTTAGGATTGGGGTTTGGGTGCTCAGAGGCTTGCTGGTTGGGGAGATGGCATCAGATGTCGAGGACACGGCTTGCTATGCGGATGGGTACAACGACGCCATGGATGACATAGGCGGGGACTTTGATTTCTAGATTTTTACTCATTTATTTTATTTCCTTATTCTCTTTTCCATGCGAATCGGTTATACTTGGTGATATGTGATGATGTATTATGAAAGAGATGAAGAAATTCATTTTATTATGTAATGCATGATCTATTTTACTTTTCTAAATGCTTTGTACATATAAGCTTAATGACAATAATTTAAGTTAATATGAGGAAGAGACAACCCAATTTTTGGTTTGTCGTTTTGGTTTGGGGATTCCTTGAGGAAAATTGGTCTATTCCGTGTTGATTGTACTTTATTGAGTCTTTAATTATTACCGTACACATTAGTTTGTTAAGTCCTTAATAATTACGTACACATTAGTCAGTTGAATGTTATACTATATCTAGTTTTATAAACTTATTTATCTATATTGGTTCCAATGCATCCACTTATTTAAAGTGAGGACGTGAGACTCATTTTTAGCCACAAGATTTGGTACATCATGTGTGACCAAGATTTACTCTTTTCTTATTATTATTTTAATTATTTAAATATTATTTTGACCCGTTGACTCCGGCGTTAACCATTGACTTCCTGCTTTGACTCCGTCGTTGACCGTTGACAACTAACCTTCCAACTAGGTTAGTTCTCTGCAGTTGCTAGGTTAGTTTTCTCTAGTTGCTAGGTTAGTTCTCTGTAGTTGCTAGGTTTTTTAACAACAACGCTCTGGAAGGGCGGGGGATTGGGCTGGATCCCCAACCTGTGCATTGATCAAGACCCCAAAACGGGGGCCCAAAATAACAAAAGTCTACAGTCTACAGAGTCTCACAAGCAAACCAAAAAAGGAAATAGCAATACAAAGTCTCTCTTCGGGCAAACAGGTGTCCGAGAATAAAAGCCTAATCTAATGAAAACAATAAACCTAATCTACTGAAAGCGGAACGATGGATATCCAAGCTGGTCCATCCGTACAAGCGTGCGAAGGCGGAGTGGAGCAGTGTCGATCTGAAAAGTGTGAGGGTCTGATATGGTGGCGCCAAGGCTGGCAAGGTAGTCAGCAGGTCTGTTCCCTCACGGAAAATGTGCGTGATCCTGTGATGGACAGACCGAAGTAGAGCTCTAATGCGCATAAGCGGGTGCTGAATCTGCTACGAGTCCTGGTGGCCCGAAGTCAGGAGGGTGGCGATAGCCGCAGCTTCCAGCTCGATCCAAATGTGACTAGAAAGGTGGACAGCAATCTGAAGGCCGATCTGTAGTGCCTGAATCTCTGCGTCGTAGCTCGAGGAGGCCTGAAGGGGCGCGTGGAAGACAGTGATGAGTGCGCCGCTGTGGTCCCAGATCAAGCCTCCTTCTCCGGCAACTCCGATATGGCGATCAAAACAACCATCAGTGTTCAGCTTGACCCACAGAGTGTCAGGTCGAAGCCAAACAACAGCTCTG